TGATCTTTTTCTCTCTCCAACTCCTCTCTCAGAGCTGTCACCTCCTCTTTGTTACGTCTCAGCTCCTCCATTGCCTGATCTTTTTCTCTCTCCAACTCCTCTCTCAGAGCGGTCATCTCCTCTCTGTTACGTCTCAGCTCCTCCTGTGCCCGTAACTTTTCCCTCAGCACTTCCTCTCTCAGAGCTGTCACCTCCTCTCTGTTATGTCTCAGCTCTTCCTGTACATGCTCATTTTCCCTCTGCACCTCCTCTCTGTTTCTCAGCTCCTCCTGTGTCCAAGCCTTTTCCCTCTCCACCTCCTCTCTCAGAGCTGTTATCTCCTCTATGTTAAGTCTCAGCTCCTCCTTTGCCCGGTCTTTTTCCCTCTGCGCTTCTTCTCTCAGAGCTGTCACCTCCTCTCTGTTCTTCCTCAGCTCCTCCTGTGCCTTGTCCTTCTCCTTCTGCACCTCTTTGAAAGTCTTTAATGCTTGTTCCCTTTTACCTAGCTCCTCCTTTGCCTGATCTTTTCCCCTCTCCAACTCCTCTCTCAGAGCGGTCATCTCCTCTCTGTTACGTCTCAGCTCCTCCTGTGCCCGTAACTTTTCCCTCAGCACTTCCTCTCTCAGAGCTGTCACCTCCTCTCTGTTCAGCCTTAGCTCCTTCTGTGCCTTGTCATTCTTCCTCTGCATCTCCTCTTTGAGAGCCATCATCACCTGTTCCCGCTTACCTAGCTCCTCCTCTGCCCGGTCTTTTTCCCTCAGCACTTCCGCTCTCAGAGCTGTCACCTCCTCTCTGTTACTTCTCAGCTCCTCCTGTGCATGCTCATTTTCCCTCTGCACCTCCTCTCTGTTCCTCAGCTCCTCCTGTGTCCAAGCCTTTTCACTCTCCACCTCCTCTCTCAGAGCTATCATCTCTTCCCTGTTACTCCTCAGCTCCTCCTGTGCCTTGTCCTTTTCCCTCTGCATCTCCTCACGGTTCCTCCTTAGCTCCTCCTGTGCCTGGGCCTTTTCCCTCTGCACCTCCTCTCTCAGTGCTGTTATCTCCTCTCTGTTCCTCTTTAGCTGCTCTTGTGTTTGCTCCTTTTCTCTCTGCACCTCCTCTTTCAGAGCCATCACCTCCCTCTCCCTTTTCCTCAGCTCCACTGACAGGCCTGTATTCTCCTCTTTGAGCTCTCTCACCCTGGACCTCTCATTCTCCTTCTGCAGGAGGTGCTGATCTCTCTCACTCTCCATCAGCCTCCTTTGCTCCTCTTTAAACTCCCTTAGTTTCCCCTCTTTAGTTTTCAACACCTCCTTTTGTTCCTCCATTTCTTCCTCCAGCCTCCTCTTCTCCTCCCTCTCTCCTGTCAATTCCTCCTGTATCTCCTTCAGTTTGTTTTCAAGTCTCCTCTTTTGCTCTTGAGTCCTCCTTAGCACCTCTCTTAGCTCCTTCACCTCCTCATCCATATCTTTTAGTCTTTCCTCTAATCTCCTCCTCTCCTCCCTGGTTCTCCCTAGCTCTTCCATTTCCTTTTGATCCACCTCCCTCAATTTACCCTCCAGTTTTTTTCTCCTCTCCTCCTCAGTCTTTCTGTGGGCCTCCTTCTCTCTTCCATCCTCCTCTTTCTCCTCCAATGTGGCTGCCAGCTGCTGCACCTCCAACTGTTGCTCCCTTAGGAGGTTACGGAGTTTTGATGCTTCCTTTGAGCTCAACTCTGCTTTCTCCTTCCACTCCTTCACCTCTTCCTCCAGCTTGTCACAGGCCTCCTGCATCTCTTTGGACCTCTTCCTTGCTCCCTCGTTCTTAGCATGTGCCTCCTGCAGCTCCTTAATCAGTGAGGAGGTCATCTTCTCCTTTTCTTCTCCCTCTCTAATCTCCTTCTGGAGGAGTTCCTTGGTTTCTTTCAGCAGAACATGCAGCTGCTCCTTCTTTGCCACTTCCTGCTTTAGTTTGTCATACATCTCCTGGCGCTCCCCCTCTCCCTCCTCCTCATGCTCTTCAGCCAGCCTCAGGTGCTCCTTTAGCTTCTCCACCTCCTCCTCCCTCTCTCTGACAGAGCTCATCTGTCGCTCCAGGTTCAGATCCCTCCTCCGTACCTCCTCCTTCATCTCCTCACATTCCTCCTGAGTTACATTCAGCCTTAGCCTCAGCAGCTCCACCTCCATGTTATCCTTCACCCTATTCTCCACCTCCTCCCTCTGTCTCCTCTCATCCTCCTCTAACACAGTGATTTTGTTTCTCAGTCGGTTAATCTCCTCCTCATTCTCCTCCTTTTCTCTTTCTAGTTTCTCGATCTGCTCACAAAATGCCTCAGTCTCTCCATCCCTCAACACGTCTTCCTCCCTCCTCTTCACCTCCTCCTCTCTCAGCATTTCCTCTTTCCTCTTCACCTCCTCCCCTAGTTTCTTCTTCTCCTCCTTGGCTTGCTGAATTCTCTCCATCATCAGGGTGATTTGAGTCTCCCCCATCACCACCTCCTCTCTCAGTCTTTCCACCTCTCCCTGCCTCTCCTCAGTCTCCTTCATCTGTCCCTCAATACGTCTCCTCAGCGCCTCCAGTTCTCCATCCCTCGTCCCGATCTCCTCACTCAGAGCTCCTCTCTCTCTCTGCCAGGCCTCCTTTTCTTCCTGCTTATCCTGGTCCTCCTTTGATCTTGTCCTCCTGAGCTCCTCCAGCTCCTCCTTCAGCCTCTCCACCAGCTCCTGCAGCTCCTCCCTGTCAGCCTCGCTCCTCTCCCTCCTCTCCTTTTCGTCTTCTCTCCGAGTCGTCTCTCGGAGTAGCTCTCCTCTCAGACACTCGATCTCCCCTTCAGACACAAAAACAGATTTGCATTAAACAACGGAGGAGGCTGGATCATTCAGATCCAGGTCCAGGTCTCGGACCCTGACCCTGCAGTCTGAACCCCTGCAGGTCTGGGACTGACCCTGTAAGGTGGCCTTGGTCTTCTGCAGGGTACCGATGTGTGTGTTCTGTTGACACCTGTCCACCTCTGACTGGGACAGCCGCTGCTGCTGCTGACGGAGCTGCATGTGGAGCTGCACCGACAGGGACCTGTAGGAGGAGCACAGAGAGGAGGTGAGCAGGTCACACTCACCTGGCAGGTGATGTTGTCAGGTGTGTTTGGTACCTGAGCTCCTGGAGCTCTTCCTCCAACTGCTCCCCGTGTCTCCTCAGACTCTCCTGCTCCTCCTGCAGCCTCCTGCTCTCCCTCTGTTGCTCCTCCAGCTGTCTGACCCTCCTCTTCACCTCCTCCTCTGAGTGATACAGCTGCTCCTGCACCTCCTTCAGTTCCTTACGTACCGAGGCATTCTGGGAGGAGATCTGAAAACCAAACAGACTAAACATCATTCAGATCGACATGAGTTACAAGACTGACACCTCCTCTTTACCTCATCCAACTGCCATTCTGCTGCTTGCCGCTCCTCCTCCAAGGAGACCAGTAGTTTCTCCTTCTCCTCCACATCTGCCTCCAGTTCTGTCTGATGTTCTTTCAACTGATGAACAACTTCAGCGTCAGCCTCCGTCTGAGCTCTGAGCAACATAAGAAGAGAGAACATGTCTGAGCCTAAACCTAGATAACATGAACAAATCTGGATTATATGGTTTATATTCTGGGTTACGGGTAAATGCTGCGTAACTGGGATTAAACACTGTAAAATTAATTAAATGCTGTGTAACCTGTTATAAACATGTAACCTGAAGTTACTGCCATGTAATGTAGATTTAATGCTGTGTAATCTGGATTAAACTTGTTAAACCTGAATTTATTGCTGCATAACGAGGATTAAACGTTGTACAACTTGTGATAAATGTGTAATTTAACATTGATGCTGCGTAATCTGGATTTGAGTATATTCTGGATTATCAGGATTAAGAACCTGGCCATATTGAAATTTTACCTGAGGAGGCTACAGTCACTGTTCAGAACTTTAACATCTCTCTGCAGGGAGCTGACCTCTGACCTCACAGTCTGCATCCGTAACTGGCTGTCAGACAGCTCCACCTCCAGCTGGAAACACGTTTAGAATAATGTCACAGTGATGTAACAGTGAAGTCACAGTGATATTACAGTGATATTACTGTGATGATACATTGATATTACAATGATTTACAGTGAGGTCACTGTGAGGTTACAGCGATGTCACAGTGATGTTCAGTGAAGTCACAGAATACTAAAGTGACATCACAGTGATGTCACAGTGATATTACAGTGAGGTCACAGTGATATTACAGTGAGGTCACAGTCATCTTACAGTGAAGACAAAGT